ACTGTGGATCTTATAAAACTAATTGAAAACGAACTGCATAGACAAATATAGAGCTTCATAATCAAGATTTTGGCAGGAAGAAGAGAAATGCCAAATAAAAAGGGGTACTGCGCTCAATTCACATGAGAGGATCTAAACTGGAATGCTCAAATTACAGAGGAATCTTCCTAATTAATGTAACCTACAAAATCATCAAGAGGATCTAAACTGGAATGCTCAAATTACAGAGGAATCTTCCTAATTAATGTAACCTACAAAATCATCAACAAATTAATAGCAAGAAAACTGAAAAGGTTTACTGAACATATTCTAGGTGACTATCAATTTGAATTCAGACGGAATAGACCCACCACAGATCATATCTTGACCACCAGATGTCTCCAGAAGAAATGCTAAGAATACAACATCCCCATACACCAACAATATGTGGACTACACAACAGCTTAGACAGGGGATATCTGTATGATGCACTATAGAGTTTCTAACAAACTTATCTGGCTTAAACATGACGATGGCTACCTCCAAAAAAAGAATCAAAGTACAGGAAGAGTACTTGAGGAACTGTCATATTAATCAGGGCCACTGAGTCAAGGAGACTCACTAGCATGCATCCTATTTAACATCCCTTTAGAAAGCGTTATGAGAAACATGCATGTGGGCACCAAATGAACTACCGTATCACAAACAACTTTCAGAGAAACATACATGTGAGCACAGGATGAACTATCACAAACAACACAGTGTTAGATAATGATGGATGGGTATGTATATCCCCTGGGGCTCTGGTTGACAAGTTTGTAGTGGCTTGCTGACTAAAGAGGTGCTGCCCCCTAGCGCTAGACTGGGAACAAAACCACCATTATTGTTTGAGCCTGCCCTGGCAGACAAAGAGTGTGCATGGTATCTGCCAAAAATGGAAACACTTACAGGGCTACCAGCTGTGGAAAATCTGCAGCTGGAAATAAAACGGCAGAAACAGGGTAAGGAGCATGATTACATGTTGCCCTTTAAGGATACGAGGCATGAGGTGGGTAGTGGCAACTCATGCCAATGGTTCTATTTACATTGCAGTTAAGGCAGTTGTACCTAGGCAACCGTTTCGTAACAGCTGCTTCGTAAATTAGTTGCAAGGTAGAAACCCACTGTAGAAATCTCTATTCGACGGCGCCGGACGTTCCCAGGGATGGGCAGGGTAAGATTTTAGGATGTAAATACACAATCCCAACTCCTGATGCTGTGAGAGAAGTGCCACCGGCCTACCGGATGTCCACTGGTACTCGATCGAGTGGGTGCGGGAGGGGGCTGTCCTGGCAAAGGGAAATCTCCAACTTTCTGCTTCCCAGCCCGATAACTCAGGCTTGGAGAGTTAGGGTGTGTGTGCTTTGGGGAGGGTATAAAGATCTAATGTACTAGCTTGACAGCCCGCTGATGCAATTTCCCAATGAACATTATCAGTACCAGAACCGTCCATAGTTGCTGCAATTTAAAGGTTCAGGCTGCTTTGGACAAGAAACCTTGAGAGGATATTAGATTGTAGAGCAGCAAAAGTGATCTATAGACAGAAGCCTAGGGGTTAACGCTCATCCGTCGACCAAGACTGATATGGATTGTGTTGTAAAGGACTAAAATCACCTGGAATGTGTAAAGTCATGGATCAGCTTAAAAGGGAGGATGTTGTAGAGCAGACAAGCAGACCAGGCCTCTATGAAGGGCTGTAGCACCTCTGAGGACGATGATGTCTGAATGGAAGGATGTGGTGAAACAGGCCAGGCCCTACTAAGGATCAGCATTAACAAATTGATCTGTTTATCCATCTCTATTTCTCCCATTTAGCGACATACTTATTAAAATTATTTAATTTGAATTTCTGGATGTTGTTAAAGAATTTCCCAGCAAAAACTGAAAGCGTACACTAATAAGCAGATTACACACTTTTCAGGGTTTTCCTGGCCAAAGCTAAAATTGTGGTCGGCTTATAATCCATTGGGAATAAATTTCCAAGATCCCAATCATGGCAAGTTACCTCAAGATTAATACCCAGTGTGATAAATCAAGCATGAAGTTAAAATTAAAAAAAAAAAAAAAGTTTTTTTAAATTAGTGGCATAGGTAATGAAAATAAATAGAATAAAAAGGACTGTATTTACCTGAAGTAAAATGTTGACCAGTCATGTCATGATTCTTCCTGCACATTCATCATAAGAGCAGCTGTGAATTCTGGCAGTGATGTGGGTCTTCAAGTGATCTCTGTGAAAACAACTTTAACCTGGAAGTAAAATAATACATGACTTAGTAGAAGACAGAAACTTTACTATATTAGAGTGCAAGCTTGAATTAATATGAAGACAATATCCTATGAACAATTTTAACCTGAAAGTTACCATCATAAAAAGTACCCAAAAAATTAATCACACACTTGGTGTAATCATTGCTTTTACACCAGCAATGTTTGCATGGGTGTTGCGACAAAAAATTCTTGGTTCTCAAAGGGAAAGTTGAATAGCTTTGTTTATTTAATCTATTAAATAGTTAAAGTCCAACCACTATTGGAATTAGTGAGTATTCACGCTCTTTAATATTTAGGGAGGTGGTGTTAAATGAACAAAAGAAAACCTTCAAAATGGTCAAGTCAAGCTCAGTGCAAGATTTTAACTACACCTGCATTAGAGTAGAGAATCTTTAAAAATTTAAATAAGATTTTTTTGTCACAGATCAATCGTAATATAATTCTAACCTGCAAGATGTAACTCTTGATTATTACTACTATGATTTTAACCAAAAAAATGTTTGCTGTAGCTACAGATGAATCTAAATTTAAGAAGAAATCAATCTAAATAGCTCTTTTGCTATTTGCTTTTTAATTATTTCTTTTACATCACTCAATATGTCAGAAGGAAATTTTGATTTTTTAGGGATTTTTATCTAATTTTAACTAAATTAGGAATGTGCAAGACTATACCCCAACCTAATCAGTGAAACTAACCATTCCGATACTGTCTTTTCATATTTCTTACATGCACTAGCGGGATTTATCGTTATATAAAGTGCATTCAAAGGATCAAGATACTAATATTTATTATTGGAAGGGGGGTTAGGATGATGCTAGGTGTTAAGAGAAAATGTAAAGATATGTGTTTATTATGGCATGTAATTGACTAGGCCAGAGGCTCCCAGACTGTGTCCTGTTGCAACCTAAAGTGTTAAAAAATTAATGGATTTAATGCAAGCCATTTATAATTAAGTTGGTATGTTTCACTAGTTCTCCAACCTACTTGGTACTCTGTGTACTTATTAAAGTAGCAGTTGGTTTTGAGCAGCATTTATGAAGTTATTGAGGTATTTCTTCTTGTATAAGTATAAGGTTTCAAAAATGGATTCGATTGTTTAAAAAGTGCTATTTTACAGTGCACACAGAATGTGGCATAGAGCAAAATTGAAAAGACGTGGGTGCAGCAACGGTGCTGTGACTACAAAACGCTTGGTAAACTCTGGACTAGGATATTTGACATTCATGTACTAGCAGCATTGCTGGTAGGAAAACTGGTCACCCGAGAGCTTTTCGTTAACCCTCTTGATTTCTCGCTGTCTAGCAGTGAATCTGACACTGACGAAAACGATCAGAAAAGTAATGAAGACAATCAAAATGATTATGTTTACGATAATGTTGTGAATTCTTTGATTAGGATTTCTGAATTGGATAGAGATGACCCCTATGAATTTTAAGAAAATGTAGAGCCTATAAATATGCCTCATGGGATAAGAACCCCAGTTGAGTCCTTATGCTAATTTTTACACAATATATCATTAAAATGTTTGTGAGAGAGAATAATAATAATAACCCTTAAGTATGCAGACAACTTTCTCAGTTACACCCAGCTCAAATAAACCATAATTGGATGCACAATGGTGAAAAGGACCGCTCTGTCTGTAGCAACCGAAAAGCACAGCGAGGGCATGAAAAGGAGTAGATCTCTGTGCCAGGTGTGTCTGAAGGGCCTCCATGGGCTTTATTTCCCAAAACACATGAGTTACGATCCATTCATGCTTCATCCATCAAAAAATTCACACAATTTACACCGGTAAGTCATGTTTATTCTCAGTTGAAATCAAAGAGTCTGTTTACACGCAGAAAAAAAATCACATCGGATGAGTTTTGCCACAACAATGGGTCTCTGAAAATAAGAGATTCAAACAGAAATAATATACGCACCTAAACTGCACTTTTACCCGATTTTATAATAGTTTTCAGTTTTAGTTTTAACAAGAGTGTAACATTAAATCTACAAATACAGGTTAGGCCAAAAAGTTAAAGAATCGAAAAGACCATGGTTTTGCTACTTTAAATCGCTGCGGTGTATGCAGGCCACAGACAATGATTTAGCTAGGTACACCGCCGCAGTGTACGCAGGCCAAAGTCAATAGTTTCGCTAGGTACACGCTGCGGTGTACGTAGTGCCGGCCAAAAGAAAAACCAACTTTGATCTTGATTGATGTCATGTTAACTATTATAGAACTATATTTAAATTAGAATTAAAAAATACCATAAAATTATAAACATAAACTTATTCTTACTTTCTTTCAGCTGTACGTCACATTTTTTCTTCGTGTTTCTTCAGAGCTAGCGGTACATGGAAGTCTTGAAAACATGGTAGATCTCTCGATTGATAATAATGGCGACTTTGATGGCAAACCAACAGGAAGTGTCCGTCATAACCATCACGTGACCAACCTCACGTGACCAAGCGGGTCCGAATAGCCATTTGTGGCTATTGGTACTGGGTTACCTATAGCCACTTCGATAAAGAAACTGAAATTGTAAATAGATAAAAGACGGGAAAGCACTGACCAAGAGCCTTCTTCAACTAACTAATAAGAAATTAAAGAGAAAAAAATATAAGAAAAATAAATAAAGCTCAAAGTAATAGAGAGTATGAATTCATTTGAAAGATGACTAACAATTGTTTCAGAAACTGTAAATATTTCGTTAATTAGTTTGTTCAACTTTTCTGAAGTCTGGCCTAACTAGCAGCATGTAAATAAATTATTGTGTTGGTTTTTTTTGTTGTTTTTTTTTGTAAATCGTAAGATCAAAATTTGACAATCTTAAAATGTTAAGTTAGGATGAAACCTCATGTCCCTCCGTCTATTAGCCAGGCCTAGCAGTAACAAAAATGTCATCATCTATTCCGTCCTTTGTCTGTTGACTTGGTGTCACGTAAGTGTCAAAGAGTAAGATTAAGATCGACACTCAGTCACTCAGTGACACTGTTTTGAAATTATTGGCGGCATATCTGCTGAGGCATTTGTCATTAATTTGGGCATACGGGCTGCATAGCTTATTAATAACTTAGTCTATCATAAATCTACTAATTAGTCTACAGTAGTAATTATAATAATTGAAAGACTGTATTCAACTCAGTCTCAGTCAATCAATTTAAGCTATCTGTATCTGATAGTGATAGGCTATGTGACTATGATGTGAATGAAATAGTTTTATTTTCATTTGTTCTGTTCACTGTAGAAGGCTCTAAGCCGAAACATTCACATCTTATTGTCCTGTATTTTAATTGAAGCTTCAACATACCTTCTTATATTATTAGTAATTAGCACTTAATTATATTTATATAGCTCTATTAAGTAATAAGGGAGAGAGACTGTGATCAGTTGAATCAGGTCAAAGTATGGGAAAACCTGAAAAGCGAGGGTTTCAGGAACTGGAGGTTGGAAGGCATGAGGCAGTAGATGCAAATGTATCAAGTGTTATCACCTCAACTATTCATTTTGAAAACTTATTCCAGTATTAGTGTTATGTTTTTATTGTTTTTTGTTCACTGAAGAAAGCTTGATTTGTTGCTTTCCCTTTTTCAGTTTTTCCTATACTTTATTTCACTCATTTGATAGTAGGGGTCTAGGAGCTATCTTCTTGTAGTTCATTATTCACTGATTGAAAAAAAAGGAAACTTTGTCTTGTAAGTCAAGACAAGTCAAGTTTGTTTGAACACTGCTACTCACTGACACTTAGTAGTACAACAGTCAATATTTTTTCTACTTGTACATGGATTGTGAATAAATTTTTATAATTACAATGAAGCCTGAAAATAGCTAACCTTGAAATAGTAAAAGCATTGTCCCTGGCAAATTTGCTAACTCACCCACTGCCCCGATTGGTTGGCAAAAACAAAAACCTGTTAAAATAGCTCAAATCCTGTCAAATGCAAAATGGGCAAGGACTTGTGTGGGATAAAAAAAAAAATAGCCAATAAACATACTGATATCGAATAACATTGTGAATAGGGAGGGATGCAGACCTTTTTCTTTGCCAATCAGTCTGCTACAATATAGACTGTTGTGTTTCTAAAATCTTTATGCACCACTTTTGCTTCTGTCCCAACGGTTTGCGCTAGTACCAGGTATCATTGTAATAAATAGTTTCAGTGTGTCTTGGGGAGGGTGGGGAGAATATTTCAGAACAGCTGATAAACTATGGTGACCAGGCATACTGGTTTACCCAGGACAGTCCCTATTTTTGCATCACCCATCCAAGCATCCCTGCAAGTTCAGGAAATGTCCTGTCCGTTCCGACAAACTGCATATACAGGGATAAATGCTCCCACTGTAAGAGTCTTTTCTCTGATTAAAACAACATGTGGACACCAGATAAATCACAACTGAAAGTCGATACATTGAAATATATGCTGTTTGTCAAATACAATGTGACAAGTTATATTTATGATATGTTATTTAAAAAATCCTGAAGTCTAAAGAGCTATCCACTCATCTCAGATATATTAGTGTGTCATGATTAAAAGATTAATAATTAAAATTCACTTGCTGATGATTTGTATTTCTGATATACGTTGGTTGTGTCAATTTCTTTATATTTTTTTAACAACATAACAATTGTTATTAGTTAGTTACTCAATGACAATTTTTTTTTCTTCCTTTTATGACCATGTTAAGTGACATGTTCAATCTCAGACTCAGGAAGCATTAATAAATTCCTCTCAGAAGATTTCTGGTATTGTTCACAAATATTTCAACAATGATACCTAATTAACACAACGTAAGGTTTCGCTATGTCCATAATATACAGGTTACCCCCAGAAAAATCTGGAAACCATAGATAATCTAACATTAATAATTAAGGTTCTAAATAATATAGGCCCTACAGTGCATAGTATGGTATGCACAGTAAGGTATTTTAAAGGCCAAAATACCACAAGATCAGAAAACAAACTTCTTAAATGACAAATTAATGACGAAAAAAATAATTTATTTTCATCATTTTAAGAGATTAACAAACAATATCTAATACTGAATCATAGTCATATTAAGGTTTATGATGTTGTAACTGTAAATATAATACCAGGTAGTAATAAAATGTGATTGTTAAAAGAAAGCTGTTTCTTTTTTTTTATTTCTTCTCTTTCTAGAAACAAGATAGTAAGTTTAAGAATGAAGAAATCAAGAGCTAGTAAAGTCATGATAAGTGACTGGCAAGACAGTAGTGAAGAAATACCAGCTAGTTTGTCTGGCAACAAGAGGGAGTCTCCAAGATTATTAAATAAAAAAAAGTCTGGGAGAACAGTGAAAGAAAAACCTCACTTGGGCAAATCAAGTAATTTGACGGTAGCAGATGAACATCAACTTAATGTTATAGACTTCAACTGTAGTACTGATGCCTCCATTGATAATCAACCTCCTTCAAACAGTGATCTCTTAGAACCAAAAAAAACTGCAAGACGGGGCTTGACCAAAAAAAATTCATATGTAGAATTGACTCAGCCAACTCAAGTGCATAACGTATCCGTTTATTCACAATGTGTTCCAGAGACATTTAAGCATTTAATGGAGAATGTTAGTATTTTAAACAAGAGTAAATTTGTGTCTGAGGCTAATCATGAGGATAATAATCCTAGTAAGTCGTGGTCACTTCACTTTATCTGCTGTGTTTGTCAGATTTTACATACTGTCAGGCTTTTATTTTGTCTGCTTTTTAATTGCAAAGACATCAGACTGTTAACCAGGGTAATTTTGAACCAACACCCCGCACCTCCTGCACCCCACAGATCAGTCAGGGGGTGGGGTTATCATCACAAGCTTAGAGAAAATAAACGCAAGTTGCAAAAGGAAAGAAATATGAGTAGGTGTTAAGGATACCTACACAAAATAGTACTGCCCCAGTTGTCAAATAAATTTAAAAAAAAAAAAAAAAAAAAAAAAAACAAAATTAAAAATTTTTTTTTTTTTTTTTTAAAAAAATAAAAAAAAAAAAAAAAAAAGAATAAACCAAATTAGGATTTTTTTTTTTTTTTTTTTTTTTGCATTAAAGGTTTCTGTTTTCTTCTTCACAGAATTCATGAAAACATAAAACACCAATCATGGTGGTAAATGTTTTTTTAGATAAATTTGTTCAACTTAACTAAAGTTTCAATGATAATTTGATATTATTTTGATCCTTTCAGAAAAATCAAATATTAATGCTGAAACGAACCAGTCAATTCAGATGAACGATGATACAGAGGGAAGGTACAAGAAATTTAACAATGTTGAACTGTAAAATAATTTAGTAGCATGTCATGTGTGCTCTCCTTTGTTAAAACAAGGATATGATTGCATCTCTATCGACTACTTTCTCTCTATTAACAGGGCTTTACAAAAAGTATAGTTATCCAATCTCACGTGAATTTGTATTTGTATGTAGCACCAGTCATATCGAAACTGAACCAAGTGAAGTTGAAAGTGATGACCCCAAACCAGGTGACTCCTCTTTGGTCATTCGTTCACCTACTCCGCCACGCCAAGTCCGTGTCACCAAGAAGAAAAACAGAAAAGTAAACAAAAAAATAAACGGTGCTCTCAAGTATGTTTTTCTTTTTATTAGTTATAATTTTATTAGTAGATAAATTTAATATTATTTCATTTTATAATTATTTTTTTTTTTAACAGTTAACAGTTTTAAAGTTAGAATTACCTGGTTTGCAAAAAAATTTAGAAAAATCAAGTCAAAAGTTATTTTGCAGTTCTTGTCTGAACAAATTAATTTTGGTTTTCAATATTACTTCCCCTATGATAAATATGTATTATTTTATAATTTTTACACATGTTATTTTGAATCAATTATGTGGTCTTTACTTGATGTAGTCACTGAATGATCCACCTAAATGCTCTCTTTGACCAGAACACTTAATTCACTAAAGGATAAACTAAACCACACTACCCCAGCCAAGAGAAAGAGGCGAAGTAAAGATGATGATATTATTTTCATACATGAAGAAAAACCAGAAATTTCCGTCAAAGTGCGATATCTTTCAACTGTGCACAGAATTAAGATGAGGACTGTAAGTAAACACAATAATTTTGTGTCATCAGGATAATAGATTATATCCAGCTTATTTCACTTGTCACTTTAAAATCCACCCCATACACTGTAACATTCTTATTCATCAAATCAGTTTGATTGAACATGTACTTGAACTTTGTGCTGACTATATTTTCTGCTCATTTAACTCTTCAGACTGAGCCACTCCACTCTCTGATTTCTAAACTCAGTCCAACCATTGGTGAAGATGAAAATGTTCTAGCCTTGTACCTTCGTGATGAGTGCCTCAAGCTTAGTGAGACGCCATTGTCCCTCAGTCTGTCAGTAGCAGATATCATTGGTTAGTCTACAATGTCCCAGCTGTTTTTTCTTGTTAAAGGCATGATAAATATCTTATAGTGCTTAAGCCCAGATGGGCAATCTTTTATGGGTGTGACCCCATTTGGTGAATAGTTTTTAAACACAGGAGACCCCCAAAAAGGATTACTAGCCTAATGTACATTACCTTGAACGTATAAAGTAGTTTTATTATAAATATATAACTAATAAATGCCATCTCAGGATTTCATAGTTCAGCTATAAATATATATCTATTAAGTCTCATGAAAGCATTTCATGGTTACAATATTGTCAACAGAGTGCCATTGTTTAAAGACTGAGGAAGGTGACAGCTCTGAGGCAATCCAGCTGGTGATTCAGTGTCACAGCAATAAAACTAAAACAGTCATCACGGCCAGCAAGGTCAGTTATTTACTACAATTACCAATAGAAATAAAGGCTAGCATGATCAGCCATTTAGTACCATTAAAAATAAAAATACAGACCAGCAAGGTCAGTCACTTAGTATCATTACCAAAGGAAATACATTAAATTATTACCAGATTTTGTTTTTTTGTATTTGTAAATCTTTTTTTTTAAAAGTTTCCATTGATTAAATCAGTGTAAATAATGTTAGAGTGTTATAAAATTTTGATATTCCATTGGATTGATTCTTTAGTTATAATTAATCTTTTTTTGGACCAGGGGTTTCAAATATTACATTTTTAGTTTGAATCCCACACACACAAAAATTGTTCCCATTTTGATATTCTGAGACAGCCTGCGAAATATGAACAAAATGTGTTTTGTTTTCTAATGAGTGACAGCCTCCAAGAAAATTGTTATATGGAATTATATAAAGTATATTATTATATTATAGGTGCCATTTTAGTTCAATATACCCTATTAGAATATTGTAGCTTACTCACCTCTTTTTTATGCCAACAAAAAACAGCTGGTGTTTACTAAATTTCTATAATCACTTCAATAATGTCATCCATCCATCCCTTTGGTGCCCATGTAGGGCTTTGTCCTGCTTCAACACTTCCTTCCATTCAGACCTAACTAATGCTTTTCTTTTCCATGCTTGGGTTCCCAGTTTAATGCAGATCTTTTTTTCACATCATCTATCCATCTAAGCCTAGGTCTGCCTTTCAACCGTTTTCCTCTGGGGTTTGCGTGGTACATCCTCTTCACTCCACTGTCATTTGGCATTCTCAGACCTGTTTACTCTTACGATTTTGGCGTACAATGTACGATTTTGAGTTGTAAACATTATATATACTGTATGTTTATTTTTTAATATAAATCTAAGGTATTGAACGATTTTGTGATGATATTGTACGATTTTAAGAGTTTGAGGGTAAACAGGTCTGCATTCTTTTTAAGTGTCCCGCCAAGCGTAGCCTACCCTTTCTTATTTCTGAAACTAGCATGGGATCCTGATATAGTCTATGCAATTCTTGGTTGGTCGTATTCTCCATCCATATTCATCCTTTGTTGGTCCATATATTTTTTTCTTTTCTCCCCAATGCGTTTAATAGGTTTTCTATCGTTTTTGTTAGCGTCCACATTTCACTTGTGTGTTACAACTGGTCTGATTACAGTTTTACAAAAAGTTTTCTTTCCTTTTCTTGTAATGTTTTTACTTTTGAGCATTTTCTGACTAATGAAGTATGCCCCGTTCCCGGGTGATATTCTATCTTTTATTTCTGTTAATAATTCTTTTTTTTTTCTTTTAGTATTTAGTAAAGATCTGAGGTATTGATTTAATTTTACTTGATGTCAACATTATTGTTTTTTGTGTGTATTTTACAGCGAGGTCTTTTAAGAGATGTAATGAACAAATATGCAGCTATGAAAAACTTGGATCCTTCCACATTGGTATTTTCTTTTGATGGTGAAGACATCGATCCTACAGACACTCCCTTGAAGCTTGAAATGGAAGATCATGATTGCATAGATGTGACAGACTGGCTGGCTACATAAGACTATTTTGACTTTGGACTTTTGATTTCATACTTGAGAACACTGGGCATTACATACATTTTTGCACAATAGTCTGGTTAGTTATACTATAATGTAATACAAAAATACAAAAACAGATGATGGAAGACACCTCTTTTTTGAAAATTCTATGGATCTTTTAAAGAAAAAAAAAAGACTGCAATAGTTTGCTAATGAGAGTGCACACACAAAATAATTTTCTCCGTCTTTTAGAAAGGTATCTTTTCCTCTAAGAACTTTAAAAAAAAAAAAAAGACTTAAATATAGCCATTAGTACTAGGCATTCTTTTAGTACCGGTGTATTTCCTAAACTATTTCTAACAAATGAAAAAGTTTTAATCCATAAAATTAAGTCTTTATGCTGAACAAGTTGTAATACTTTACATATTTGAAAAAATCATAGGTTTGATCAATTTAGCAGAAATAAGTTTGGTCTTGATTATTTTGCAACATTGAAAGATGTATTTCTGCAGCATATTATTTTGGATGACTCTTGTTTCAGTTGCTTTGCATTTAATTATTTAGTGTTTAAATGTTTAATTTCACTATTGCTTTTTTCAAAGAGCATTCTCTATTAGTGTTTAATTTCAGTATTGCTTTTGTGAAAGAGTTTTCATTCTCTATTTGTGTGTAATTTTACTATTGCTTTAGTCAAATATCATATTCTAACAAAACTGTTATACAAATGCTGGTAGTCTCATTTTCATACTTTGTTAATGTGTGTTATTTTTGTAATGCTGGACACAAATAAATCAGGACAATGCATCGGTCTTTAAATTATTTTATTCATATATTACTTCTTTAAAAAAAAAAGTATACCTTAAACTTAAAAGCGTAACAGCCAGCAAAAAGTGAGTGGAAAACAAGGTTGTATAAATCTCTTACAAGCTTCCTTAGCTTTCAGACACAAGTTATAGATATATACATGTCCACACAAAAAAATTGAAATTTAAAAATGTTTGCATTTCATTTGTGTGATAGAAAAGTCATAAAAAGCTGATTATCCACAGTTGACATAAAATAGTTTCTAATGAAACATATTTTTGTAAAATATGAAAAGAAAATTAACGAAATACCAGATTTTTATTCCGGACCCGTTTGTTACTATTACTATTCGTAATCTTTTTTTTAAAAAGACATTAATATAAAAATATCTTTTTAATTCTTCATTTTATGAACAATTTTTCTGAGCCCACCATCATTTAAATATGAAAGTCCCAAGGCAAGATTTACTTTTTTTTTACCTAAATTATTATGATATAATCAATCATACTGGCTTGTTCATAGTGCTACTTTTTACAAAGGTTATTAATGCACAGTGACATCCCATTTCATTGGTTAGAGACACCTAATTACATTAACTAATGTCTAATGCACTGTTGTGAATCTAATGATATTGAACCTCTATACAGTTTATGTATTGAACAACAAGTATGCTGGTCTCTTGAGTCCACCCTAGAAGGTCTCAGTTGTCAAGAAGTGATTTTAGTTGACTTCATGTGTTGACATCCACTAACTGGGTAATTAGTTCAAGCCCGGATAATAACATCTCAACTGAAAAATTCCCCACCCAGTGACATTGAAATCCACCAAGAAGAGGTCTGCAGCATCTCTTTAACTTATCTAGAACTACAGAAGTCACCGCTACAGCCCCTTCTGCAAACTGCAAGTGTTTCTCACATCTGCAGGTGTTTGGTAACAGACTAGGGTTTAGTCATCACTTGCTGGATCTGCTTGCAACATATCTTCCTCTTTGTGGGACAAATTGAACATGGAATACTTGGGGTCATGTGTAACCTCCTTCACCGCTGTTAAAAAGTCTGGTAGAGTTGGCAGCTCTGTCTCAGTTGTAAACATTTCTAACATTATGAGATTTGAACACCTGTGGAAATAACATTAAAAGTAAAAGAATTGTTTAGCCCTAAATGAGATTTCATTGTGATGCCCCTTTTTAAAAGAAATCTCCCAGACTCTAAGGAGTGGGGAAACTATGGCCAGAAGAACGCATGGGGCCTGCTGAAACATGTAATTCAGGCTAGCAAGACTTCCGGGTACTGGATTAAGGTTATTACAAAATGTGAATGATAAGCTGTCAATGCCTTTGAAAAATAACTTTTGTCAACGTGTTATAATAATAATCACAGCAAATTTAAAAAGTATCCCACTGATTGTTTTCAAAAAGAACTCTGTGTGAAAATTCTATAAATTAACATGGGCCCCCCCCCCCCAAAACTGGTGACAAAAAAAAAAAAGGGGGGGGGGGTGCCCCAACCCTTCTCTACATGGTAGAAGATCTGATAAGTGTTTCTCCCATTATAGAATGTTTCTTACTCATACCAATAATTATTGGTTGCCGTTCATACAAGTGCCAAAAGTTCATCCAAGGGCTAACAGTTCATCCAAAGGCTAGCAAGTTATTTATTCTTCTGTATTTGACTTCTCATATAAAAAAAATTTTATGTTACTTTTTATTTAGCAATAAATTATTTCAATCACTTCAACTCAAGAGAAGAAGACAATTAGAAGTAATTTAAAAGCAAAGCGACAGTGAAGATTTAAAAGTTGACCAATTAAAAAATTTCTCCCACTCCCCTCATTTCAACAATCCCAATCGGGTGGTAGTGTGTGGCAATAAATAAAATTTCATTTTTTTTTGTCCCCTCACAAAGATCAGACATTGATACGGTGATACAGAATAAATGAAGTGACCACAAAAGACAATCAAGATTAACACTATATACTTAAAATGACAATACAGGACATATTCAAGACAACTCCAGAGTCAAATTAGTGAATGTACTGGGTTATGGGTTGGGTAAAAACCTGAAGCAATTCCTCTCAAGTATCTCATTCTAAGAGCATGGGGAAAACTCTGTTTTTTGCGCTAAATAAAATAAACCAAGTGATGTATTAGAATCCATTATGTTTTCTAACTGTCAAAAGAACACTTCAATGCTCAACTACCAGTACTGACAAACACACCAAGGGAAACTTCTTTCAGCAGAAATGTGCCATTCTTTTTTGCAGACTGTCAATGGCCCATACTTTAAATAACAGCATTCTAAAATAGAGAGACAGGCTAATAAAATAATTAAATAGGTCAGACCTGAAAGGGAGAAGCCATGTGTATCATAATTATATACACCCAAACACAAACAAAACTTTTTTGATTACTCTATCATACAGTCAATGTGAAGATCCCTTACCTGGGTGGAGCAGGATCCTGGTAAATATCCAATTGAAAATACTTATTATTCCACAGGAAACATCGTCGGATTTTAAATATAGTATAGTGCTGGTCATCTCGCTGAGCCAATAATATCTGACCAGAGAAATAATTTTTAATGTTTCAAATCGAAAATGATGCTAAAATGAATTATCAGTAGTACCGGTACACATAGATCTATATGGTGAACCTCAAGATGACTGACAGTAAAAAAAAAAACAACTACTGAATACTCATTTCAGAAACATACCTCATAGTCTTTCTCTGAGATGGGCATTCGTAACTCTACACTCTGGTCATTGATCTCTGGACGACGTATTGTATGTGTATATGTCCAGTTGCCTGGAATGGATAAAAATCAAGAGTAATTTTAAATAACAGTAACAGGAGGTTTTTTCCACATATGTTAAATAAATATTATTATGTTACAATACTGAAGATTAATGCAACTAAGGTTCTGCCTTGTTAGGAGCCCTCCAATTGTATGTACGCAATGAAGGAGGCTGTTGATTTTCCATACACGTGCGGATGACCACATATCCTGATATTCTGACAGTCCATAAAGGGCATATTGAAATCTTGAATTTCTGGCGATGTTTCTTTCACTTGTGGTCATACTGTTGCTTTTTCGCTAGTGAACAATAGTAGTACGGTGGCAACAGTAATTTATTAATATTTAGTCCACCATTCCCCTTTGAAGTCATTATAAGCGACATCACGTGTTTAGGGGATGTATGTGTTATCTGTATGGGGGGGGGGGAGATTGGGCAGGAGGAAAAAAATTTGCTGCATTAGAATGTCGTCATTTATGGGATGGCCCTTTCGTATGTTCCATATACGGTGGCAACAGTAATTTATTAATATTTAGTCCACCATTCCCCTTTGAAGTCATTATAAGCGACATCACGTGTTTAGGGGATGTATGTGTTATCTGTATGGGGGGGGGGGGAGATTGGGCAGGAGGAAAAAAATTTGCTGCAATAGAATGTCATCATTTATGGGATGGCCCTTTCGTATGTTCCATGTGCATGACATATTGAGCTAATCTTGTTCAGCTGCACAAGTGGTTCCTAGAATTTGTTACTGTTTGAGTTTACGCACCCTTGCCAAAAGTTAGGCTTTCACCAGGCACATTATATCGAATTCTAACAAACGCACTTCTTCAAGATAGCGATTAAATTTGTATTAAATAAAGGTTTGGCCCTTTCGCATGGCCCTGCCCCAAGCCAACACTGCACCCCAGGGTTAGGTAGCACATATTTTGGGACCCACTGGGCTCGCCACTTTTTGTGAAAACCAGTAACACATTGTTTTTGCTGTGACATCATACTGGTGTATAAATAAATTAGATGGTTGGTTTTTTTGGGGGGAGGAGGGGGGATAGGTTAGTAGAAAGCTCATTGTATTGTACCTACACAAGGGGGGTGTCTTACAAATGTACATGTACATTGGGGGATTGGGTCGGAGCTTTGACTTTTTTTTTTGCATAAGTACAATATGGGTGGCACCTTTTTGTAAATGACATGGTTGAATTTAAAATCAACACCATTTTTTGCTTTGTTAACATTAAATTATGTTACATCTTAAGTTGCTGATTAAAAGAGGTTTTTAGAGACAGAGAAAAGAAATAGAGATTTTATGGTAATATACAAGTAGTGTATTGCTTTTATTATTGACACATCTTTAAAACATTTCTATGATATCATTAGAGGATTTTTGTTGTTATACGTGGTTGGCCATGATACACTAAACATTACACACCAAACACTCCAAACAACGCACAAAACACTAGACACAATTTTTCTCCTCTCACCAGCTTTCTTGCTGTTTGTTTTCTTTGTATTTTTGATTTCTTGAAGGACTTGACATTTCCACAAGATGGTGGCAATTGTAGGAGAAGACTAACTAACGCACATATCCTGGTGAGGGTCTGAGATAAGTCAATTATGAACCCGGATAGTAAGTTGGCTACAAGCTCCATCTGCTGAGGTGAGCCATATAACATTTTCCTCATGTAGGGCTCTCCTGCCGCCCTGGCTTTCCAACGAAAAATCTAGTGAGAGACATTCGGTCAACAGATCCGCTAGTGTTTCTGGGACCAGGCTGCAATGCCGGCAGGTAGGGTCCCTGTTATTATCTAGCCTGTTGAAGTATGTGCTGATGGGACAGTGCTCTGTGCGCAACTGTGTCACTAGACTCTGCTGCCTGCGACCTAACCCCCACCATAGGTCTCGTCTGCTAGGAGTTGGCAAGATAGCAAAAACGCCTCTGGGGGTCGTATGGTCTGCCCACTGTCTGTACCATAGGAGAAGACTAAAGCAGGCTAAAAACTTTTCTTTTTTTACAAAAATAACTGACACAACCGTCCAAATGTCAGTAATCAAGTTTAAATTACCTGATTGCCCACGCTTTCGTAACCTTGCCTGCATCTTTCTGCTGGGGGTCACAAGGTAGTCATGAACAACATGAAATTCTTGATAATGAGGAAATGCCTGCATCATATAAATTATTATTAAACCAATTTTTCAAGAATCAAGTTAAGAATTTTAGAGTTGGTGTAAAAATGTGCTATTGATGCTTTTTTTCATGTCATCTATAAAAAAAAATGTGTATGTTTTAAATAGATATAAAAAGTAAAAGTAATGAAAAAGAAATATTTAGGAAGCAAGGTGATAAATTATACCAATAAAAAAAAATTTAATCAAGGGAAATGAATTTGTTTATCAAAAACTGAGATGGATAATTAATTAAAGATCAATTTGTACTCAGCATAAATTCAAGGAACTTAAAAAAAATTTGTCAAAATCATTTCTAACTTCTTTTTCTGCAAGATGAGAAATGAGGAATTTTCTTTTCATACTGTTTGGGGCAAGCCTGTCTCCGGGATCAACACCCACCCTGGTACAAACAGCCTGAGAATAACAGAGCAAGTTTAGAAAACAATCTTAACTCGTAGTATTAGTAGCTCATACACCACAAATAACGTATAGGCTGACATTCAAATACGTGTTTAAACCATTTTGAGACTGGTGTAGGCTAATCATAGATGCTGACATTCAAATACGTATTTGTAAAAGCTCTATATTGTTCCGTTATTTAGATGTATTAAGATGATAACTCGGATGTCATGCACAGAGAGAAAGGAAGGAAGTTGAGAGAGATTGAATGGAGAAGGATTTGCACTCGCAATGTACTCTGGAGTTATTTTCGGATATATCATATTGAATCAGCTATTTTTGATCTGTTTGTATTACCGTATAAAGAGAATGAAGTTACATGTCGTCACACTAGTTATTTTGTTCCAGTTTGGACACATATTTATATTGTGCATTGTGACCCCTCAATGTGATTTAAGTTCAAAGTGATGAAATGAAACGGTGTCCTGCATTGTCTCTTTGGGCTTTCATAGCAATTCATTTAATTAACAGTAGTAAGTATCAGACTGTAATTAAGTGACAAATAACACTGGTTACACATCCGTTACAGTAGTTAATCATATTGAGACTGGTGTCAGCTAATCATAAAGACTTACATTCAAATACATATATAATCATATTGAGACTGGTGTAGCCCAGTGGTCGGCAAACTCATTAGTCAAAAGAGCCGAAAATAGGCAGCAGGACGCTAAAAAGTTTTTTTGAGAGCCAACTTTCTTTTCAAGAACCTGTCAAGAACCATTTTTTTTGGAGTCAAAACCAATTTGTGGTCGGCTGGCAGACCCGCACTCAGGTCGCTAAAGAGCCGCATACGGCTTGCGAGCCCCGATTTGCCAACCACTGGTGTAGGCTAATCATAGAGGCTGACATTCAAATACATACTTAATGATATTGAGACTGGTGTCGGCTAATCGTAGAGAGTAAGAGGAAGGGGGAATAATAACCTTTGAAATTTATAACAAAAAAACTAGTATTCACTGACAATTACAGAAGTAAGGAATAATATTAAAAAAAGGGTAAATCAAATGCTGAAAAAAAAATTAATGTGAATCACTTACTGCTATCATTCTTGAAATTTTTGTTTCAAAATCTGTAGAATTGTCTATAACATCATAGTAAGGATGTCCCACCCAGGCCTAATGGAGCAAAGAAAAAGATTTTAAAAAGAAATCATATTATTTGATGTTTACTGTTTAGAGGATTTCAAGAACCACTATGGTTAATTCAATTTAGTAAGCTCAAAATAAAATATGACAATCTCAAAACATTACTCTAATCATCTTATAAAATATGAAAATTTTAACCTTTACATTTACATTACGGCTTCCGGCCACTCATGCTACCGCCCTAAACAACACGGCATTTTCAATATTGCCTAGTGAAGGCCATTTTTCTTATTAAGGAGTTACAAAGAGCCTACTTATAAACAGGAAGTGTCAAGCTCTTGTTTTTTGGGGGGTTTGCTGGCTGCGCGCTTGATTTTATCATTTCTTTTATAATGCAACTAATGTATGTAAAATATCTTACATTAGCTGTTATAGAGTCTAATTTCCTTGCCCCTTCAATGCCCTCACTTCTTGTTTTATGGCCTATGATGGTATAGAAATCTTCAGCACCCTTGGCTGCCGACACCATATGTATTATCTGGGAACAGAGCGAAGTGTCAAAATAAACAGCATAGCCTATTAATTATATTCAGTAGTCTAAATAACTTTAATGACTTGTGGTTAATAATCTCGAGTGTTATTTTAGTCTTTCTAACCATTTTGAACAAAAATTTAATTTGTTCAATTCCATCAATGCTGCTGCAGTTCCTATGGCATACCTTAAAGTGCACTCCTCACATAACCCAGGCACACACATAATTAATTTTAAATATAAACCATAAAAGTTATGCCCGGGCTTGACACCCTCCAATGTTCCCCACTGCTTGGACTCCCTTGCCCTAGTTCAAGAATCTATATATTTTGCTTGGTTACAATGTTAAACCTTGACTTATTGGATTGTATAGCTTTAATAAAATAGCCTAAAAAATCAATACAATTTCCAAATTCACATGATTGTACAGATCTTCTCTGTCACGTACTGTGTCAATCGATTGTGTCAGTCATTGCAGGGGGCCAGCCAATCGATTGTGTCAGTCATTGCAGGGGGCCAGCTATCTCAGTATGGCCATCACCTCAATGACAAACATTCCAGTCATTGCAGTGGGCTAGCTATCTCGGAATGATCTTTACCTCAATGACCCACTTGCCAGTCATCACATTGGGCCAGGTATCTCATTGGAGCCACTTCTATTGCTGCCCACAGATACTACTTATCAGCTAAGTGCTATTTCTTATTTTTATACCGTTTTTTCTGTTGTTTTGTTCGCTGACGAAGGCTTTCTGCCGACACGTTCGCTGTTTTGTTGCGTTAATTTTTTCAGGTTTAACCCTACTCTGTTTTACTCATTTTATTTTGTACTAACCTGATTGCAGTCTCTCCCCTTATTACCCCTATCTCATTGTAGCCATTACCACAATGACACACTTACCTGATCATATCTGTTGTCCCTTAGATCCACATCATTCCAGTTATTCTGTTGTTTCATTGTAATCCAGTCTTGTACAGGTAAATCTGGATATGGATACGAGTTATTGAGTCAAGTACACCAATGTTAATAAATTATTTCACCTTGTAAATACCAGTAAAATGCACCATAAAAATTGCTGTGACTGACCAAGAAAGGGAAGAAAAAAAATGTAACAAAAATGGATTTTATAATGTTAATTTTCCCTTTTTTAAAAAGAGAACCTCCAGATGCATATTTACATGCTGATCCATCCATAACTCCTCTATCACAGATGAGCAAGACATCCCTATGCCTGGCCTCTGCTAAATGGTGAAAGGTTTCCTCAATCACCATCATGGTCCGTATAATGTTTTCCTGGAACTTAAAAGCTGAAAATGAAAAAATAACAGAATCTGAGGCAAAGACGCAGATTAAATATTTTCCAAAAAGGAAACCCAAAGTATTCATCTATTAAGTCAAAGGTGCAGAAGCTGATGAGGTAGAATATTTTTAATACTACATCCTACTCAAATTTAAAATTAACAATTTATTCTTTCATTTTTATATAAAGACAATATTGTATTTTATAGTTAGTTTTTATTTAATTGCTTTATTTTGCTTGCTTTCAAAAAAATGATTTTTTTAAAAAATCCAAGAAGACAACTTTTATGAAATATTTTTTTTTAAACAATAAGCTTAAAAATAAATGTGTTAAAAAATTGTGTATCCTCAACATAAGCCTTTTTTTTTTACTCTGTGGTTTTAATTGTATGTAACCATCATCATCTACCATGTCAATCCTTCACCACTATCACTGAGCTCATTAGTGACTGGCCTTAGGAGGATTAACTAAGGATTAACCAAGATTAAGTGATCTGTTAACATAAAATACACCAGATGGACTTAATGGTTCACAGTTTAACTCCCTTTGCAGAGTTTTTAAGAGTTTGAACATTTACAACTCATGAGATGCATAGAGCCATCTTTACCTTGTTTTTGATTCAACTCATGAAACTGAACCCCACCACTGAAAGAAATAAAATATGAATCTTAAAAAAATATTTCCAATGACAAAGAAAGCAAAAAATGTGAATGCCTTCCTTTACTCAGTGAACAATTATTTTTAAAGCTCATTAAGGTAATACTGATACTAGTGTTTTAAGTCTTTCTAAAACAATTTTTGTGTGGGCAGTAGACCACCAACTAATTAAATATTAGGTAAACTGGAATTATAAACAAAGCACTAATATAAATAAAAATATTCTGAGACAGTAAAACAATGCCTTAGCTTGATTAGAAGAAATTCAGTTAAAACATCCTAGTCTAAATTTAGTTATGTAGGTAATATTTTAACATGTAAGGAAAATTACATGTTAGAAGATTAATTGGTGCAAAAAATAGCTTTTTAAAAAAATTGACACAGTATAAGCTACCTTGTATTCTTAATTAAAAACAAAGAAATGGTTCTACTTTATAAGTGATGAATTCATTTTATTGTATCTTATGAAGTGCTCTTATGAAATCATCATTTAAATCTAAATAAGCTAATTCATTTCCACAAGACAGCTATCAGTAATAACAACTTACCTGAGATAGGCGAGGGCTGACTCAGGAGCTCTGTACACCTGAGGGCACAAGAGAACAGATGAGGAGTCTATACAAGTGTCCCCTCTAATTGTTGATCTAATTGATCAACAAAAAGAACATGCTTAAAAAAGCTTTTCTTTTAAATAACTAAGTTTTATTTTGTCAATAATTTTCTTTTTTTTTACACTATAGACAAAACCCATTTGTAGATATTAATTAAAAAGTAAGTACCTGTATTTGAAATGACAGGTTTTTACAGAACTACGCTAAAGACAAAACCCATTTGTAGATATTAATTAAAAAGTAAGTTCCTGTGGTGGAAATGACAGGCTTTTACAGAACTATACTATTGAATACAAGATTAATGAGCCAAGGTATTTTTACCCAACAGTTAAAGAATTTACGTAAATGATAAAGTGAGATCATAACAGATAGACAAGAAAATATTTAAGAGGCTAACCCTTCAACGTTTACAGATATTATATTTTAATGAAATATTAATAGTTGATTTTTTGTTGTTGTTGCATTGTTGAGTCCCGTATAACTTTGTTCACTTTCACTTTTTGACACATAACAAAACTGTCAGCCATTACTTAATATTTGCAATAAGAGACACAGAAGAATGATAACTTAAACTTGTTCAACGGACAGACTCACCTTCCACCCTAGGTTCTCAAAGAAGGTGCTCAGCCTCGTCTGCCCAGTAGTTTTCCCACCACATGGACCTGATCATGAACACAAGTCATTTAGTTATAAGAAAACTATTGTGTCAGTGTTCAAGCAAGGTCTAAACACACCCCCCCCCCCACCCACCTCAAGCTTGTTAAGTTTATAAAGTTGAATCTGAGTTTTGGTAACTTGATCTTGACTATCTGTCTATAAGTATAAGCCCTGAGGTCATCTACATCCATTATTGATAACTGAATTTCCAATCATCATAATAGAAAACAATTATCAGTTTTGACAAAATAATAACTCTTTCGGTCTTTGCCAATCAGTAATGAAAAGATCAAGTATGCAAAAAACATGTCTGTGATATGTCTGTTTGGAACTAACAGGATGTGCCACATTGCATTCCCTTTCAAATTATCTTCTTTGATTATTTGTAAAATTCTTTGCATATATCATTTTTTTGTGCTTCTATGATTCTGATACGCTGACTCCATCCGGGAATATATTTAAAAATTGAAAGTCCATCTTGAGAAAAGCCAAGCAGAAATTATCAGTAATAGTAAAAGTCTCAACGTGATAGATGTTAATAGTTGGGTAAGGACATGGAATAGACGTCCGGGGGTAAAAGGATCTGGTCGGGGAATGTTGCCTTTAAGGATGTGGCAATTCAATGACTGTGGGATGGTTAGCTACTAAGAGTTTATAGTCATACGACGGGCCAATATAAGGGAGAAGTTTTCGATACATAGCAGTTGAGAGGTATAGCGGTAGTTGAGAGGTATAGAGGCAGTTGAGAGGTATAGCAGTAGTGTAGAGCTAGAACAGTCGCGAGAGATCAGGAGACGACAGTTGACTAGTTGACATAGGAATAGTTAAAAGGATACAGTTGAACAGTCATATCTTTAGAGATTCATATGGATAGTTGACATTTAGTGAAAACTATAGAAGTAGATCTTTTCATTTGAGTAATAAATATAGTTTATTTTATCATTGGACACCTGGAGTTTGAGTTGTTGGATTTCGTTCAAGTCTACGTTGTGCTTTTGTCTGTCTCAACGCCTAGACACCCACAACAAAAATCACAGAGAGGAGCGGTCCTGTACTGAACACTACTACATCAATACAGTTCGCGATAAGTTAGGACCGGAGCACTCCTCTGTAACAACCGGTCTGTGACATTTAATATCCTGAGCCATGAGAGAGAGCAGTTAACCATTTTCTGGCAACAATTTTTGAACATGTTAGGGGTTTAAAACTGCAATAGTATTATTATTATTAGGTGGTTTTATATGGCACAGTACCCCAGCCTAGGGCTCGGCTCACTGCGCTTCACATAAAAATTAGCAAATACAGAAACATACATTTAAGAACAACAATTTGTGAAAATTTTGACCTCACCCACCCAAGTACTATACCCCTGTCCCTAGTGATTGGTGAATTGTAAGGAGTAGGCCTATAGATAGGCTATAGCCTATACTGAATTTGATTAATTAAGTCATTATATAATTACAGGGCTAATAGAGAATGGGCCTTAATCCAACTTAGATTCTTAGTAGCATAATTAATTAATATGTATAGTATAATTATAATTAGGTCTAATGCTCTAAAGTAGGTACTTTTGCTGCCCATGACAAATCATTGCAGAGTTATGTTCCCCTCGTTCAACTTTTTGTCCACTTGAAAATGTAAAAAATAGCATGTGATGGGCAAAATTGCGCTTTGCTGTCTTTTCCTTGTTAAATAGTTGTGTGATATATCATTTTAAATAGAATTGGATTCTTAACAATGACAATACTGTTTACCAATTTTTTTATCAAGAATTGTTTTAGAAAAGGCAGTGTCTACACGTCCGCCGACCTGACAAATAGTGCGGGTGATATTCTTCCAGCGGGCATGTCACGTGACGCCGGATGATTAGTATGTGTTATTATTCTGGCAGACATGTCATGTGACAAGAGGTCGCTGGCAAATTTTTTTTTTTTTAAATTCATTATCTTGGTTTAAATTACTTATAAAGCTCTAACCAAACAAAATAAGACCAATACTGGCCAGTTGACTGTCAATAGATCTACTGTCGAAAAAGTTTTATTTTAGGCTATTAATATTGCGTGAGAAGTAGGCTACCCCAACAACACTCTATGTTTACATTGACCATATCTATATTAGGATATAGGGTCTATTTCTTTGTGAACTTTCGACCTCCCAGCCTTAATTATTTATCACCCTCACTATCATTTTTATCTTTCTCTCTCTTCCTTTAGTATGCATTGCTTACCACCCCCCCCCCCCAACTTATATCTTGAAATGAAGGGTATACTCGTCGCCCCACAATGCATCTCGGACGCTAGTTTTATGATGGACTAGTAGCAGTCACGTGACAAGGCTGACGGACAGATATCTCTGCCAACTTTGTAACGGCGGTCATGTGACCCGGTTGCCGGACGAATATCTCGAGAATTATTCATCCGGTCGCCGGACATGTAGACAGTTCCTTTAAAAAAATATATCAAGTTGAATTTAATTAAGTTAGGTCTACTATTTAAATTCTCGCACATTCATACTCCACCAGTCGTGATTTTCATGACAACGGTTTCAAGCATCCAACTACCTACAAGACCGGGCAAACAAATTTCCCCCACCCAACAATTTTATTAAAATTAAAGATTTAAAAAGGTAACCACTAGGCTAGGCCTTGGCGGGGTATGCTGACTAAATTTCTTCCCTAGATACCATTGTTTATTAAAGTTAGAAAACAAGAAAAAGCATATGACCAAGGAGTGGCAGCTCTCTCAAAGATTATCTGCCAATTTTTTTTATTTTAGTAAAATTTTAGAAAATATAATGAGTAACTTGCCCCCTGTGCAACCCGTCCTTTGAGCAACCACTTTACTTAACTCTCGATGTAGGTGATATATCAAAACAATGATATACTCAGTAGGCTCCCTTTTAGCTTCTTTTACTTCCGGATCATTAACAGCCATTTTGGAAGCCGGTATCAACAGCGAAAGTTCGACGGAAAAAAAACACCTGTTTGTGAAATTTTAAGGTAAGTTGTTTACTGTGTTATTTATGCTTAGTATTTGGCGTGAATGAGTTGCAAACGTTGTAATGAGGTTGTGTAAAAGTTAAAATAGACTGTAACTGTAAACACTCTGAAATGTGTTAAATGCGATAGACAAGTCTGATTTCTTGTTGGTTGCACTCAGGGCAAGGCACACAAGTGTGTTGTCACATGCGCAACCAAAATGGTTGCAGTGAGGGAGGTAAAATTTTTAGTTGCCCTGTGTGCAACCATACACTGCTACATAGTGCTACTAGTCTAGTCTAATCTAGATCTAATTAAGATTTATAACTATATTATATCTAGACTCCACCTGTGCTTCTATAAACTATTGATTAAATAAATAATAAGCCATAAGCTGTTTCCATTTTTTTTTTAAATTGTGAATTTTGTTTGATGTGTTGTTTATGGTAGCACCATTCTAAAACCAATCTATCTTTTTTTTCCTCAGAAGCAGCATAATGAATAAGAATAAACCAAAGTGGACCCAAGAAGCTTTGTTGGAAGCTTTAAAAGCTGTAGACAATGGGATGCCTAAGAGAAAGGCTGCTGAAGCTTATGGCATTCCTTGGGGAACTTTTATTAATAAAGTTACTGGAAGACGAGGAATAAATAGTGCACCAGAGAGAACCTTTCTCACCAAAACTGAAGAGGAGGAGATAGTGAAATTTATTAAAGACTCTGCAGACAGAGGGTTCGGAAAATCAAAACAAGAGCTCTTTACAATTATACAGCAAATGTTAAATTTCCGTAACCGGAATTCAAAATTCCCAAATAATATGCCGACAGAGAAGTGGTATCGAAATTTTAAAATGAGATATGCACAAATCGTCCTACACACTGCTCAAAAACTTGGGAAACAACAGGCTGCTGTAACAAAGGAATCCATCCTCAAATGGTTTGATCAATTAACTGCAAAAGTCAAAGACATAGATGCCTCGATATTCCTCGAGCCCAATTGAATTTATAACCTTGAAGAATCAGGGTTCAGTCTTGATTCTGGGACCGGGAAGGTTTTAACGTTCATGGGAACGAAATTTATATACCAGCTAGGGAGTGAACAAAAAACAATGATCACTGCACTTGTTTGCTGCAATGCTATAGGGGACTATGTGTGGCCAATGCTTATATACCCCGGTACTCAATTCCGTGGCTTTAAGCCAAATGAAGTATTTGAGGAGTGCTTCATTACAAAATCGACAAATGGATGGACCAATCAGACCATATTTGCTGATTGGCTGGAGCAGGTTTTTCTTCCCCAAACAGCACAGCTAAAAAAGCCGATTCTTCTTTTAGTTGATGGCCGCATAAGTTCCCAGTCAATCCAGGCTGCCACTCTGTGCAAAGAGAACAACATTATTCTTTATGCCCTGCCTGCCCATTCATTTCACATCGTGCAGCCCTTAGATGTGGGCATTTTCAAAACAATGAAGACAGAATGGCGGAAAGCTGTGAAAAAACAAAATGAAGCCGAGATTATTACAAAACATACATTTGCAAATGTATTTAAAGAAGCTTACCAGGCAACAGTGCAGAAAAGTCTTGCCCAACAAGCATTTAAAATCACTGGGTTATACCCATTAGATGCAACAAACATTAACTGGCAGAAAGTACTGCCCAGCATGTCCATGGAAGTGGGAAATCAGACACATATTGTGCCTGACAGGGCAGCCACACCCCAACATCAGCCTGCAGCCGGACAAGACACACCAGCTATGCTATCTACCTCAGATGCCACTAATCACAATTATGCCCTCTCCACAAAACCCATCTAGTTCTACACCAGCCCCACATTTACGAGCCTCTCTGTCAGACGACCATATACCAGCCCCTGTACCAGTGCCTTCTAGTTCATCAAAAGCAGAACCCCCATGTATTGCTGGCACAAGCACCTGCCCTGATGCTTCATTTGACATTGCTTCAAATTTTAAAAAATTTGCAATGATTTGTGCACAGATTGGAGAGTCAGAATTAAGGCTATATTATGAAAGGCTGGAAGAGGGTTATGACTGTGATGACCCATTGTACAGATTATGGAAGCTTTATCATGGGAATATTCTATTGCACCATTCCAAATCAAGCAGACAAAATCCTCCACCTAATGTTGCAAAGGATCCACTGTCATTATCTGTTCTGAAACAGAGCTCCATGAGAAGAAGAACACAACAAAAGCTCCCACCACTGATTAGTGGAAAAGAATTCATTGACCATCTGATAAACAAAGACCGGGCAGAAAAAGAAGAAAGAAAGGCCATAAGAAAAATAGACCTAGAAAAAAAGAAACAAGAGAAATTAAAGGCCATAGACTCTAGAAGAGAAAGCAAAAAGAAAGGAAGAGAAAATAAAATTACGAGAAGAACAAAAAAAACAGAGGGAGGAAGAAAACCAAAGGCGAAAAGAAGACAGAAAGAGGAAAATGGAAGAGAAAAGACAGCTGAAAGATAATTCAAAAGGGAAAGGGCCGAAGAAGAGAAAGACAAGCAAAATGGATGATTCTGAAACAGATACAAGCATTGATGAGTCTCAAATGATTTTCGATGACGAGTCGGAAGATGATTTTGAGGATTTAGATCTAGATTTAGACTAGTCTAGACTAGACTAGAGTCTATTTCAGAATGCAATTTTGTTTATTAGTTAGAATTAAATAAAAATCAACCATGAATGTCATGAAAAAATGCATGATTTATTTGTTTTAATGTTGTAGTCTAGTCTATATGTGTCACATTTATGCATGTTTTATGTGTGTATCTGTGTGAGTGTCTTGGGAGATCCTTAGCTTTAATATCACAACCTTTGTGGTTGCACTGAGGTCAGGTGGTTGCACTTAGGGCAAATCATTGGTTGCAGGGCGGGCAGGTGGTTGCTTAAGGGGCTACTCAGACGTAAGCATTGTTCCCTATTATTATGCTAGTTATCTGCTAGAACATCTCCTAAACACTGCCAAGTCAGTGATTTCACTTGGTGCCCTCTGAGCAACCAATATTTTTTTTTCTCCAATCATTAAAAAGTTGTGAGGAAGAGTTGACTCGTGGTTGCATTGGGGCAAGTTACTCTATTAATTAAAATGTTTTAATTATTTTATATTTTTAAAAATATAAGACCCCCTTCAAGTTCTTGTGATGACTCGGTAGTTACAACCGTGTTGGTAGAATTTCCTATTTTAGACTTACCAAATATGGCCGCTTACTGTTGTCATGAATTATCAACAGCTGTTTAAGTGCCTTTTGTTAGATAAAGGTTTTGACAAATTTTTTTTTCTCGGATTTTCTTTGCAAATATCATAAAGATGGCCTCCAAATTTAAATGCTGTGATTCTGAGATAGTTATTTATCTTCAAGCGTGTAAGTATATATTAGATTGTTTGTAATTAAAGACCATAATAATAATAATACCATAGTTCCATGGTCAATGGTCCAAAGCAGCCATAGCAGCAGCCATAATTAATCAAAGTAAATAATAAGTAGTTATTGAATTTGATTGGTTATGTTATAAATAACTTGATGACTTAAATAAATTAGCCATGCCAAAACATCCAGACCAGGCTCAGCTCATTATCACTATCATTATGTTCATGTCTGCAGTGTAGAGGGTCTGCAAACAACGATCTGTGAAATCTGTTTAATCATCAGGTCCTGATTCAGGTGGCTCAGATGTGAGAAAGTTGTCCTGATTGTAATTCAAGTTATTGTTTTGATAATGTGCTGAGATCTTCTTGAATGAAAAGAAACACTCTTAATTATAATTTTTACTTGCAAATAGCTAATGGTTGTTTTGGATATAAGCTTTTTTGTAATTTTGGAAAAGCACTTAATGATTGAATCTCATATGGGAAGCATTATCATAATTTTATCAGCACAGCTCTGCGGGCGAATAATGCTGAGAGTTACCAGCAGACAGAAATTTTCAAATAATGCAGAGCGTTATCGACAGACAGAAATTTTAGAAAATGCAGGCTGTTATTTATGATTATAGTTATAGGCAGACAGAAATTGTATAGACTTAATTAGGATCATTATTCATATTCCAAGCTGACAGTCATTTGATTATTTGTTATGTCTTGTACTATTGTTGCACTATTGTTGCACTGCATCATGGGTACTTTTTCTCAGTTGGGCTTATTCAGATTTTAAATCTTTTCATGATTACTTGTGTTAGGTTGCATTTTGAAACATAATTCTGAAAGCTATAAGGAAACTGTGTATGTCCTTACTTAATTTTGTAGCATAATGTATTTTTTTTTTAATAATGGTGATTTTTACCCCTATTAGCAACAACCATGGCTGCTTTGTTAAGTAGAATGCCTGCCAGTGGCACAAAGTCCTTATTGTGACTTGTACTCAAAGTAGTACTGATGTAATTCTATTATTTCTTTATTTTTAAAAAAACAACAACTATTGTTTCCCATTACATTTCTAATGAGAAGTGTATACTTTTCTTATTTCATCTTTGAAAATAACGTATTTTATCTGCAATATTTTACAGACTTTGTCACTATTGCCACCATATTGGGAACTGGAATTTTAGGTAAATGACCTCTGACACTTAAATCTACATAAGTAGCATCCCAAAATATTTTTCTTACACTTTGGTAATATTATAATGGAAATATTTTTTCACTTCTAAACCAATTAATCAGTAATTCTATCAAAAGCTCTCATGATATCAATGTTTTATTTTGATCAGATTTAACTAAAGCACTCCAATTATCAGAAAGGAAATAGTCATGAAATTAAATATTTTATAAGTATCGAACAAAGTAATTTTTTTTCTAATGATTGTATGCCAAAATATGTTTGATAACTTAATTTTTTTATGCTTTCTTTCCACCAGGGTTGCCAGTGACTCTCACGCATTCAGGATTCTACCCATTTCTTATCAGCTTTATTATAGATGCCTTTGCACAGGTAAGTGAAATATTACAATATAAAAAAATGAGGGCAACGAAAAAATTAATATGTTTATTTGAATACAGACCCTCTTTTAAGGTAGAAAATAAAACTTAAGAGGATTTTTGCGAAGCATCTCCCTGTGTGTAAAAAATCTAAAATATATATAAAGTACTTCTCAGATACTGCTGATCACATTAATTAAAAAATAAACTTTTTGGAATAGAATTAACATTTAGCCTGTTTGAATTAATTCTTCAATCTTCAATTGATATGTCTTGACTTCTGAAAATTAAACACACACCTTTCACTGACTGAACTGATCAGACTTGGAGAGAAATCCAGATTAATGTTAATTCCAGTCATTTGTTTTCATGATTTTTGCATAACTTTATGAACATTTGGCTTTTGGAAAAAAATCTGCAGCTTAAATAAATTGTTTTTGTTTTTTCTCTTCCCAATATATTTTACTGACAGTCCCTGCTGATTCATTTTTTCATGGAGCTGCTGCAACTGTCTGTGGCCTCACAGTACCATGGCAAAGGGGTCAGCCAGATTTTTTATCACCACTAGTCTTACATTTAAAATTATTCCAGAGAGGGGGGGCTGTGAAATTGTATTTTTTAATTGATGTGTTCTTCGTAATCAACTTGGTCTCTGCTGCATGCATTACTTTTTTAGAAAAAACATATTCATTTTTCGTGAATTTTTAATGTTTTTGCACTATGTGGTAAAGAATAGATAAAGATGGCTCATCTCATCTGTTATCTAATTAAAGCTGTATGTTATTATCTTTTTGTATCTCCCTATTAACCAATGATATTGTTATGGGTTTTCTTTTTTCCAGGAAGAGTCTATGCCACTTAACACCATGCTGGAAGAGGACATTTACTTGGAGTCTGATGAAGATGATGGACAGACAAATGGTAAGCACATTTAGGTGGGAATTTGCATTAGGTCTTCTACCTGCTTGCCATTTTGTAGTCACTATACCGTCTTTGATTCTAATTAACCACTTATTTAGATTTGTATGACACACACATTAAATTTAGTTCCTGATTATATTGACAGTTGGTCTGAATTATGTTAAAAAGACATGATTAAATCATTTCTTCAAAACAAACGTACCATGCTTTAAGACCATCTTTCAAAAGTTGCATAGATACATAATTATATCTTATAGTATTTTTTTTAGTGATGATTTCAAAATGTAATTTAAGGAATAATCTATGCGTATATACATAGTTATGTCTATTAAATGTATGTAGTCTACACTGAGAACAATTTTAGTTCAATTCACAGGTGCCATCATGAAAGGCAAAATGCAGCATATCAGAGAGATCCCATTGGTACAAGCCCCAAATCTTCACCTTCTTGGGAAACTATTTCTAGGATGTGGACTTCAGCAATCCTTTGACTTTCTCATCATACTTCAGTTGTAAGTAGCCTATGATGGAAGCTGTTCTCTTGTCAATTAATACAATCATTTAACCTCTATTTTTTATGGGGAGCCATTGATTAAGATAATTACACAATTAGTGGAAGTAATTTTTTAAACTACATTTTTCAGTAGTCGACTAAAACTCTTCATGAAATATTTAATTGAATTCATGAATATATCAATAATATTGATTAAATGAATGTGGTAGTTTGTTCTTTTCCTTTTTTTTTCTTTTTCTAAATTTGCGACAAAGAAAATCAACCAATATTAGTTTTATGTCTTAAAAATTTCAAGTCATGTGACAAATGTATATGCCATTGAAAGATTTAAGTTATTTTTTTTAAATAAATTTTTGAGTACTTGTCTGATTGTAGTAAAGAAGTTAAGGTGTATAACAGTGTCATGTATTTGTTGTATTACCAGCATTGCCATTCTGATCTGCTATGCATTGGCTGGGAGTGAAGCCTACGCACAGCTGTTTGGTGTTGAGTAAGTGACATTTTATTTCATTTTACTTTAAAATATTCGATTTTGATAAGTTTTTTTAAAAAATATCTATTCTTTGATATTGGTGTGCAGCATGTGATTTTGCATTGGGGTAAAAAAATATTTGTTTGCCTTATAGCTAGTATTATCTCTTTAGATTACAAAGAATGTGGTTGTTACAAAAAATTGCAAAAAACTGACCCAGTTACCAGCTTCCTGGTTGTCATAGTCATAACCAATCCAATGTTATGTTTGTATATATAATTTTCTCTAATTTACCATCTATGATCATGAAACCCCTGCTATGTTGGTATTTCATGTTTGCAGACATTTCTATGTGATCCCTTTGTTTGTGTGGGTCCTCACCATGGCCATTGTATTTGCCCTTCAACTCATCCAGCCGGTCATTTCTATCCTCACCTTTGTCAAGGGCTCCTTGTTGCTAGGAACTGTAAGTTTTAAGGAGGTGACTGACCCCTCAAAATATTGCTCATGGGACAATACACCAGATAATGTGACGATTCTACTTTAAAATCTTAAATTAATTTAAGGAGATTTTTATTTTCATCCTTAAAAAGGAGTATACCATTTTAGATGGCATGCTTAAGAATTTAAAAAAAAAATTTTTTGATGCTCATTTGCATTTCCATCATGACGATAAAAAAAATTGACTAAATATTTATTTCTGAAAATTATGGTGATAATAGACAAGCTTTCCTAAATTTGTATTAGCCCATATGCAATCATAAAATGTTAATTCTATCAATAATGTTCAAAAAAATTTAAGTACTGCTTTAAATCTGATCCTACTAAGTAAATATTTCAGGCTGCTGTTACATTCTACGTAGGGCTGGCTGTGGCTGAGAAAATCAACAATGATTTCTCTTATGTTGGTGGACCTTTCCTCATGGGCACCGTAGCTCTTGGTGGGTTGAGTTTGCAAGTTAGGTTATTTCAAGTACCATTTTATGTAGATTACACCCATTGTCAAATTCATTTTAAAAATCTTAATTTTTATAAACAATTAAATTTTTTTTAAAATGTTCATTTTTGTGTGAGTTCTAAGCTCATAAATAGGTTACTAGCTTATTGAATGAAAAGTAGGGTTTATTTGTTTGTTGACTTTTTTTTTTTTTTGAGCATGAAAACAATCCCCTAAAATATATAAATTGGGGTATTACCACCAGGTGATTTGAGCTCTTCCTGGCTGTAGTGATACATAATATATCAATTTATAGAATTGAACCTGTAGTGAGCTATGCACAGATGGCTATTGTGTTTTTTAAATTCATTTTTGAGCACTAGGCAGTGTTATATACATAAATATACTGAAAGTATTTATAACAAAAGTAAGGGGTTTTTTTTTCCCCTTGAGGAAGTTTTTTTAAATATTGCCCTGAATGGTTTCTCATTCATATGTTTAAGATACCATTCAGAGCAATTTTTTTTTAAAACTGTTTTCTTCCATGAAAATTACTTTTTTTTAGAATAACTTCTCAAAGGGAAAAAAACAACCTTTCTTTTGTTATAAATCCTTACAGACCGATGTTAAAGTAACATTTCTCATTCATATGTTAAGATATGTGTCTTTAAAATCTGGCTATGAATGGTGTCTTTAACATCTGTCTGTGAATAGTGTGATTAACATCTGAATGTGAATGGTGTCATTAACATCTGGCTGTGAATTGTGTTTTTAACATCTGGCTGTGAATTGTATCATTAACATATGAATGTAAAATGTGACTTTGTTGTAATGATATTTTTTGGCTTGAAATATGGTACATCCATTAACAACGTGTGTCACTTTGGGCTGTCATTGGAACTTTGGTACCGTATCATACTTATTTTGTTCACTTTGAGAAAGGAGGTAGTAAAGAACTGTTTGAAATATTCAGTAAGAGAATTAACAACTGCATAAATCAAACAGAAAAATTCCAAACATTTCACTAGTTAACACTATTGATTCCATTTTGTATTTCTATACTTTGTACAGCCACCCTCCTCGCTTTTTTCTACCATTAGATTTAACATCAGTAGATTTGCATTTTTATTGTATTTAATATTTTAATATGTCTACTTACATATTTACTGACTTGCAATCTACTAGGTGGTGTTTGCAATACAATGCCATATACATTTGAGAAAGTCCCTTTCAAGAAAAAGCCAGTAAGACTGTTAGGGTATTTCTGCATTATTAAGATTTTTTAATTCTTTTTTTTTTTTTCCCCTTCATTTCTTTCTATTATCTATTGGGATACCTTTAAGATTTGAAATTGAGTGAAGAATTTTTTACGTTTTAAAATTTGACGAAATTAATTATTTATATTCTGTCAATATTACGTCTTGATAAGTTATTTTGAAACATAATTTTAACATGTTTAGCCTTAAGGAGCCTGTCTTAAAATTATTGTTGACTGTTGTCCACAGTCTGGTGTGAAGAAAAGCCAATATTTTTGCCTTAAAAAGGGTCTTTTGAATAAGTTTGTATTTTAAGTGCAAGAAAAATTTGGTGGCTGGCATTAGCAAGGGTTTAGCTTTTACAAATTTGTTTTTTCTTCAGATTTTTAATTACAGACTGGCTGTGCAACTTGGTTTATGGACTTGTGTTTTACTCAATATTTTATGGTAGGAATATCTTTGCCTTTTTTTATTTTAGAATTTAGTCTTTGAATTTTCATTCAGGAAAAAATATGTAATCCACCTCCTTTCAAAGATTCAGTTAACTGTCATTAGGAAATTGTTTTTAAGATAAAGAGATGAGATGGCAAATTTCTGAATGAAATAGTCATTTGATGAATCTGAAAAGCAGGTTAAAATCTTGCTTTATTTTTATTTTAAATGCTGATATTTATTACCTGGATCTGGACTTTTTTTTTATTTTCAATAATGCAAGGGTCATACCTTTACAATAAAAGTTGATTTTAGAAAAAATTCACCAAACTAAAAAGTTAATATTTTCTGACCTAATCAGCTAATCTTTTTCATGTGACGTTTATATTGGTGTAAAGAAATTTTAAACTCACCAGCAGTTAAAGTAAACTGAACTATACTCTTTACTGTTCAACATTTAGTAAATATTTTAATATCCCTTTATTGTATTTAGTCCACATCCAAATTTGATTTTTTTTTAAAGTTTGTATAGTTTATTTTCTGTTTCTATTGATGACTCTAATTTGATAAAGTTTATGAGAGTTTTAAATGAAAATTTTGAGCTCAATATGAAATTTATTATCTGTTGTTTTTTTTTCAGGTGCTGGGCAGTATTAGACATAGTACCACAAACTATTGAAATGGCCTGCTCATCTCGGACAATAAGTGGTCAATTATACTTAAATTCAACCAGTGTGACCGATGTCTGCAGAGGGGAACTCTCTCTTGAAGGGTAAATAATGTAAATTAATTAATTTAAACTAAAATTGTCAAAATAACAACAATGGTTTTGCAAATTGTTTTTTTTTTTTAATTGAAATTTAAAAGAAACAAAGATTGCCTTTATGTGAGCATGTTATCCATTAGTAGTCTCCCCTGCCTCCACAAGTAAGTTGACTGAACCTGAATCTTAAGATAAATACCCTTAGTCTTTAAGTGGGCATGTTATCCCCCCAAAAAAATTTCACCTGAATCTTTGGATAGAAATCTGGGCTTTTCAAATACTCACACTTCTATTTATTATTAATTACATACCAAATAACTACTTTCCCTTTACCATTCTTCCCCAGTGCTGCATCAAAGGGAGAGATCTCCACCATTCCTCTGACAAAACTCTTACAACTTGACCATCCGAACTTCACCTGGGTAGCTGTGCTGATAGAAGTGTTTATAGTGGTCAGCATCAGCGTGTCCTACCTGACCATAGGCACCGCTCTACATCATACTTGTAAGATGGTTGTGATCCATCTTCTTATCATGAACAAGTTGAAGATTTTTTTTTTTTAAATATTTGTAGATTTACAGAATGTTACTTTCAAAGAGCTGTTGTTTTTTTTATATGCCACATCAAATTATTGTTCTTTAATCCTATCTTTTAATACTCAAGTTATAAAACAGCATTAAAAAATTACTGTTAAGCAGAATCTGGCAAATGGACCAGCAGTACAACTGGGGCATCTTTCAAAATTTGTTCGAAAATAAATTTTAATTGAATTGTAGTTTCTCAAAAGCTATTTATAATCTTATTGTACGCTTAATGCTCCACAAAAGTATAGATTGTTAATGCAACACTGGCAGTGGTGATTTCCCACTCAAGAGTTAAAGAGTACAAGAGTCATTATATAACTAGAGGTTCAATTCATGCTTGTTTATTAGGGATATTCCATTAATAGAAATCTAAAGATTAATTTTACCTCATGGATTTAAAAATTAAGAGTTTAAGACATTTTCATAGTAAAAGTTACAAGCTGTAAACTGCTAAATTTAAAAGATGGGACTTCACACATTTGTAAACCCCACATACGTAACTTGTGTCGGTGTCAATAATTAGAATATTTTTTTTTTTAATTCAGTGAGTGGCATTGTGGTGTCTTTTAACATGAGGAAATCAGCTTCAACAATGAGCAGAATCAAGAACAAGAAAAAATTCCCCAAGGAATGGTGAGTCCATCTTTAAGCTTATTATAGGGGTCTGTTATGCATTAACCTTTGTTAAAAGCACTCAATTAGATCATTTATTTTTAATTAGTTATTAGATTTATTTGTGTGATACAAATTATATAAAGACAATAATGAAGGCATTGCACAGTGTTTAAAGTATTTTGCTGATACTTTTTAATTTGCTGATAGACTGTAAAAGCAGATGACCATCTTATAATCTCATTTGGGTGCTGAAATGAAAAACATGATAATATAATTGTATCTGCTAAACTGCATTTAGCCTCACAGATTATATTAGCATTAAATGTACCATACTCAATTATTTATTTGTCTTGTTTTTATTTTTTATATATTTTTTTTTTAAAAGCTGTCTGAGTTGTTTATTATCTCTCCATAATTATATAACATTAAAAATAGGAAACCTTTTGGTTATAAACTGTTATTATTTTAAAGGATTTTATTTTTAAAAAAGAATTATCATATTCTATTTAATTATTTAATATACTATTTAATTGTGTTTTATTTGATAGGCTTGCCAAAACAGGGTTATCGATGGCCGCCTTTACAATTGTATTTGTTGTCGCAATGCTAGATCCAGAGGTAAGTGGCTCTTTTAATGCTTCCTTAGGTACATTTTTTCTCTGTTGTGAATGAATAAGTTCATATTTTGTCTTTATTATTTTTGATACCGTAGTGTCCTGTCTTTTCTTTTCAAGCCTCAACAAAGCTTGTTCCACTATTTATTTTTTTTAAATTGAAATCTTACAAAACGTATGAAAAAATAAACCTGACTCTTTTTAAAGTCAAAAGCAACTGTTAAGGCTTTTATCTAGAAATATTTTTCATTCAGGCTGAATTTTTTAAAAAGAAATATTTACACATTAACTGAAAATTATGTGATGCGAAAAAGTTATACAAAAAAATATATATATATGTATATATATATATTCGGCAGGGCTTTGTGGATATCCTAGAAAAGTTGGTGTCTTTCACATTAAATACTGAAGTTGGTGTATTCATCTTTTTGATGCTCATATTTGCCAGGAAAGAACCCTTCAAGTAAGTCTTCAGAATAATTACATTCATCTATCTTGAATTAAATTGAACTAACTTAAACATAAACAATTATGTTCATTAAAAAAAATTTTTTATCAATCCAAAGGAATGATTTATTTAAAGTTATTTGAGCAATTTTTTTTTTTTTTTTTTTTTTTAAGTTTTTTTGAGTAATTTTTTTTTTTTTTTTTTTTTTTAAGTTACTTCAATCTGATTCATTATATAATTAATGACCTTTGAAGCCTAAATTATCTTTTGAAATAGGAAGATTCAATCGGTAGCTATATCCAAGTACACAAATTTATACTTTTTAAAAAAGATTTTCTTTATACTGGCACTTCAGTCTCGTGGAGGGTAATTTTTTTTGTTGACACACTTGACATTTTAAGAGTGAATCATTCTCCTGCAGTGTTCACCTGGTGAACAGCTGGAAAAGGGTGGGTAGGGGAGTGAGCGAGCTCCTTAAAACTGGGTCAACAACGGCTGGTCGACACTGTAGCTCAAATTATCGTGGTTGATCGCCTTTGCTTTGTTGATTCGACAGGTGGTGGGTGAGCTCAGATCTACTTTTTAAAGACTTTCTTTCTACTCGCATGTCCATCATGTGGAGGGTAATTTTTGTTTGTTAACACTCGTGGAAATTTAAGTCTTTCTTGTGCAGTGTTCACCTGTTGAAAGGCTAGTAAAAAATACTGGGTCGACGGAGGCGGGTTGACACTTAAGCTCAAATTATCGTGTTTGACTATTTCAACCTTGTTGAGTGAATGGGTGGGTTGGTGGGTGAGCTTTGATCTTCTTTTTAGTTGTATGGCTAGGTAAATAGATAAGTCACTTTAACCATGATTTTTGTAAGCATTTGATGTTTTAAAAAAAGTAAATAATTCCATATTTGTTGATAATTTACAAAATTTTAATTTCAAAACCAAAATGTAGGAAAAAAAAATGTTTTTAAAAACTTTTAAAAAAAGAGACTTTCAATCAAAGATGAGTTAAAACACACTAAAAAGTAGAAAATATTTTTTTCTTAAATTCTTAAAATTTCTCAAAGAAAGTGTGTTGAGAAAATATTTTAAAAAATTAATAAAAATAAAACATTTAAATTTTGTCTATATTCATTTCAAATATTTTGGCTTCATAGAATGCTCATCTTCACTTCTGCACAGTCTTTCTTTTAAATGTATTGTTTGAATATAATAAGTTACTTCAAGGAATTCTTTTTTGGACCAAAGTAAATTAGATTACTTTCTGTTTTTATGAGTTCACAACACATGAAATGATGTTATTTCACTGAGTGAGAACACAATAGCTCCAAAGTCTCTTTAGATTAAAATTGCTGTGATAATTTATGTAATTTAAAAGCTCAAGCCAGGCTTTTGCCAGTCATCTTGGTAGAACCTATTATTTTAGTAAAAATACCAAGTTAAATCAAGACAGATTTTTTAAATCTCCAAACTATTAATTCTTTAACTGAATTTTTGTTTAAAAAGTAATTATTTCAGCTTTTCAAATAGCTCTTGATATTTTTTCTTTCTCAAAATTCAATGTTATGTCCCTTATTTGAGATAATCACCTTTCTGTTTTTTTGTTTTTTTTCTCCCACAGACACCTGGAGATTCCCTTACCTGTATCCAAGTGCCTCTACCGTCTCATCTACCTGCTTCCCCTGTTTTTCAACTTTGCTGTATTCTATGACATATATAGTACCATTGCAGATATTGTTAATCCTAGGCAATACCCCAGCATTCTTATCAACATCTCATTACCAGGGATCAACACAACAGGATCTGACATTCTGAGTAATGTTACAGGTAACCTGTCAACAACAACTGTTGCACATCATACTTGAGCAAGGTATATATACATACACAGAAATGGGAAATGAGCAATAATAACAAAATTTAGAAAATCACACAATTAAGTATTTATAAATATAAGAACTTCAATGTTGTTAGAGGTAGCTAAGAAATATTTGGAAATGGAACACAAAATTATGGAAATGGTAATTTTTTATCAAAAGAAAAAATTTTTAAGAAATATCAGGCTCATATTATAACTTTTAATTTCATGTGTTAAGTGAAGCATTGATAAAATATCCAGTTGGTTCTGTTTAGACCATTTGGTTTGGTTCCATATTATTTTTATATGTAAATAAATAAGAATTTTTTTGTATGCAACATTTACACATGAAATAGTGTTTTTAATCATCACAAGTGGAGACTTGGCTATTATGTACTGTGGCACTGTTGTAATGTCAATGTTTGCTGGTGAATTAAACTGCACTTTGTAAGTCCTGTGCAATATCCTTACTTGGTGAAGTATTTTTTAAAATATTTATATCAATTGAACCATGTTTATTTTTACCTCTTCGTGTCTTTGTAGATACCTTTATTCTCACTTTAACTGTGGTAATATAAATTTAAACTTTTTTTTTAAACCATACTCAGTATGCAAATATGAAAATTGAGTGCTTTTCAGATTATTCTGATTTTTAGGAAATTTAAACTTTATGAGTGTAAACTTTGGTAATGGGCTGATATCTTAAACTTCAGCCTATGGACCATGCATGTGTCCTTTTGAAGCATTTTATTTTAATTTGTCAATGTGACCTGGGTTATTGCTGTGATTCATTCTTTGTGGTCTCATCTAAAGAGAATACACCTAAATATTATGTACCTGGTAAATATTAAACATGTTTTGTTTCTTTTTACCCAAAGTAGTTTATGTAAATAATAATTAGAAATATCATAATATGGTGATTAGAAAGTTGTAATGTGATTGTTAGAAATAATCATAATATGGTGATTAGAAAATTGTAATATGATTATTAGAAATATCATAATATGAAGAATCGAAAATTAAATTATACTATGATTATTAAAAATATCATAATATGGTAATTAGAAAATGTTAATATGATAATTAGAAAATTGTAATATGATAATTATAAATATCATAATATGATTATTAGAAATATAATAATATGGTGTTTACAAAATTGTATTATGATTAGTAGAAATATCATAATAAGATGATTAGAAAATTGTAATATGATAATTAAAAATATCATAATATGTTGATTAGAAATAAATTGTAATATGATTATTAGGAATTCATAAAATGATGATTAGAAAATTGCAATAGGATTATTCGATAATCATAACATGGTGATTATAAATTTGTAATCAGATAATTTTAATATTGTATTATGTGTAGGCCAAATAGAAAATTGTAATAGGATTGTTCGAAAATTGATTAGAAAATTGTTAATTTTTAAAGTTATTGTCTTTAGTGTTGATAATTAATAGAAAGTTTCAGGCTTCTAAACCTTTAACGTAAATCATGACGTAAATCATGACATTCCTAATGAACAGTCTGCCAACTGACTTGCCACTCATTGTCTGAGTAAACAGATCCTATCCTGGATGTAAATAGTATATTTGTGATAACTCATCATTTTTACCACTGACTGTCTCATTGTGCAATATAGGCATCCAACAGTTTATCATGGGATAGTCGCAATTTAATCAGGAAATGCTATTACTGATTTTAATTTATGCTGTGTTTTAAAATTGTTTACACTTTTAAACTTTTAACAAAACATGGGTTAATTTTTTTGTCTTTTTGGGGGTGGGGTTTGTTGTTTTCTTCTTCTCAAACATTGGAAATGTCTTCTACTTAAAAAAAAGCATGATAAAATAAATATACCACCATGTGGATATTTTTTTTTTAAAATTGATATACACTGTGTTTTTGTAACATCTCTCTGTATGTATCACCTGATGTGTACCGGTACCACAGTTTTGAGAATTGATATCAGCATTTATTGTTCAGTTTTAAAAAAAAAAAAAAAAAAGAATCTTTTCATATGTACTTTAAGTGTGCCTTCTTAAATAATGGTATTGAAAAGATGGTACTAGTTGCCATGTGGAGGGGTTGCTCCATATCTATTCCACATGCCTCCTCGATAACCAATATATTTTTTATCAAGCCGTACACCAATGTTGCTTCTCCTGTCATTGTTCCATCGTCGGATGTTATTAATATCCTGGTTGGTGCTTCCTGCTGATGTTGTTGTTGTTCAAGAGTTGAATATTTATTGATCCCCTTCATCCAATATTTCTGACAAGCTATGTCCATGTTATCCACAGTTTGCCTTATGGTTGAAAGATTGATATGGAAAACAAAAGAAGCTCTCATTAGATTCCAATGTGCTGTTACGTCAGCTAACGCCAGTCATCATCCTGATCCGGCAGCCATTTGGGCATGTGCCTGAGGTGATGGTGAACATTTTCCAGCAAAACTATACTTGTATGTTAGGTCAGACCACTGCCAGGTTTTATAACCTGGTCAGTTAGGTCAGACCACCTGAAAGCCTTGAGAGCTTGCTGGTTGGGTTGGACCTCTGCCAGATTTTGTGACCTAGTCAACTTTGGTGACCCAGTTGGTTAGGTCAAGTCACTTCTAGCTTTGTGACCTAGTCGGCGGTTAGGTCAGATCACTGCCAGCTTTGGCGACCTATTTTTTCAACAATTTTTATTTTCTTCCACGCATCATGTGACCTTTCACAAATTAGTTTTTTAACTCCACATTCTTTGTTACAGCCATTTATAATGAGTTATTTTTGTTCATCCCAAGTTCTCCACTTTCAGCTCATAAACATGCATCTCTTGGGACCAAGGTTGATTCTCTTTGCATTCTTGCTTGATATTCATTATTTTAAGAGCATGTTATTATGCAAACTGTTGGTCATTTACCTTTGCTGTTTAAACATTATTTATAAACTTCTATTTTAAATGACTTATAAACTGCTTTCAGCTTTTTTTTAAGCTTCAGAAATCTTATTTACATCTTTAAGCTTCCATTGTTTCCAACATGATATGTGTGTGTCTGAATTATAAGAGTTTAAATTAAAAGATGATGAATATTCTCTTCACTACTGTAACTGACTATTAAATGGCCATAAAGAAATCCTTTGCAATACTCTCCTGCATTGAATTTCTCGTATCATTATTACATAGAAGTGTAACTCAGGATTCTCTAAATGATGATTTTTCAGTTAATCCCTCCCACTTTTCAAAATAGAAAATATATATGTGGTTTTTTTTTTAAAATGAAAATTGAAACATAACTGCTATTTGTTGATATCTTATTTACTTCAACAAAATTAATAGGAAAATGAGGAAAAATGGGTCAACAGGATAAACTCACTTTGACGTATGGGAGGAGATGGGGGGGGGGGGGGCACAACAGACTTTGAGCATTGTGACAGAATGACCTTGGAACGGAAACCTGAAAGGGTGCGGTTTCCAAACCTGTGGGGGACACTTCTTCAGAGGGCCTTTTCCATCTTATTTACTTCAACAAAATTAATAGGAAAATGAGGAAAAATGGGTCAACAGGATAAACTCACTTTGACGTATGGGAGGAGATGGGGGGGGGGGGGCACAACAGACTTTGATCATTGTGACAGAATGACCTTGGAACGTAACACTGAAAGGCTGCGGTTTCCAAACCTGTGGGGCACACTTCTTCAGAGGGTCTTTTCCAGTTCACAGAGGCACCAAAAAAGTTGCACCCTTTATGCAAGATGCCTAAATCATGTGCCTATGTTGTGGTATTAAATAAAGTTGGGTTACGCACCAAGAATTTGTTTCAAATATGGGTAACACTAACGTAAGTCTGGAAAGCTCTGCTGAAGGCTAAAAATCCAAAGAAAGATGTATGAAAAGCAAAAGCACTCATTTCCATTTTTTTATTTAATATCTTTGAGAATGTTTAATGATTCATTGTTACATGCACTGTGTTACGTTTTTCCTTGATATTATATTTATAAGAACCTGTGTATACAAAGATAACATACAACCAGTTTATTTTAAATCTGCTTTCTCCGGTTTCTTTTTTTTTTCAAAACTGCTCATTTATTTAATTTTTTTGCTCAATAATTTTGTTCATTCATATATTAATGTTATTAAGGATTGATTGTTTCTGTAAAGTCTGGTCTCCCAAGAATTTTTTATTAAAAAAATTAATATTGAATGTAATACAACATTATGCAGAAGGCACAACACTCTCAAAATGTTCATTGATCGAAGGATGGCTTGTTAAAAGATTTAAACTTCAAAGTTAAAATAATTTATTTTTTTCTTAACGTTTCATATTGTAACCCAATATCAAAAATTCAATTTGTCCAGAAAACGTGAGGATTATATGAATAGGATCTAATATCTACTTACCTTTAATGAGTGATTTTTATTATACATTGATGTAAAACGCTTATAATATCTCGTTGGTGTGAATAATTAAAAAACTGGACAGTCTTGTATTGAGAGTGTAAACAGGTGGTTGGCAAAATGATTAGTCAAAAGAGCCAAAAATCAGCAGCACAACAATTTGAAAAATGTTTAGAGCCAAATTTCTTTTCAAGAACCTGTCAAAAACCATGTTTTTTTGGAGTCAAAACTGATTTGTTGCCTACTGGCCGAGCCGCACTCAGGTCGCTAAAGAGCAATGATTTGCCGATCACTGGTGCATACTAAAACATTATATACAAGACAAGGTAATATAAAAGTGAGTTAGCTCCTCCTGACCCCAAAATAGTATATATCTCTCTCCCTCCCCTCTCTCCCCTCCTTCTCTCCCTCTCTCTCTCTCTCTCTCTCTCTCTCCCCCTCCCTCCCTGCCTTCCATGTCCTCTCTGTCTCTCTCTCTCTCTAAATCAATGATATTGGTGTTTACTTGATAGTATCACCAGAGTATATGTCAACATGAGTCATTTTCTGTCCATGTCAATATTTTTCTGCTATAAACATGTTTATGCCATTTGGTAAATATTTAATCTTAAGCTGCTTCCTTGGCCATTTGGTCCCAATATCATAGTTGCATCGTTAAGTAAAAAAAAATACAATAATAAAACTTCTTCCAGTATTAATGATGTTTAGGAGAACAATTTTATCAGTGAAAGTTTCTATACAAACATGTCTGCCTGTTGTATAATCTTCTAATTTATACAGCTTTTGTATCAATGTTTAAATGAAATAATTTTCCTTGCCATTAGCTTTAATGTATATTTTATGACAAAGTGTGCCATAGTAATAAATATCTG